ATTTAATTTCTTATTTATTCTTTCATTTTTGGTATCTTATTTCAATGTCCAAAAATTGAAACAAAAAACAACAATCTTTTGCTTCTTTTGTTCTTTAGCAAGTGGTATAATGATAGTGATTTAGTGTTTTGTATGGTAGTCAAACTACTACATAATTAACAAACTGCTACATTTATAACTCATAACTTCACGTTCAGTGCTACTTTCATCAGTTGTCCAACATCTAACGTGGCTTTATTCAATTACTAAAACACTATTTAACGCATGCTTGATCTTTCTGAAGAACTTAAAAGATATTGATTTCTGAGGCATAATGCGCCTTTAAAATTAACCAAGAAAGTTATATTTGGTGTTCACTGTTTCTGTAGTTTTTATCAAAAAAGTGCCGTTGAATAACTTGCTTCTGATTTCGTTCTAAGCTGACTTATATATCTTAAGGAGAAACTGTTATCAAATAAACAAACTGTTCTTATTTCCAAAATAACTGAAAATGAATGACAGGCTTTTCCAGACTATGACTGAATTATAAAGTATCTCAATATTATACTTTACATAAATGTGTTCCTTCGTTTCTTATGTACGTGCCAGCGGGCCTTAACATGGTATAATTTCAAGAGTGATGTCATTGACTAGACAAAAACAAGTATACATAGTGTCGGGCCATGAAATGCTCGTTAATCGACTGGTTGATCTCTACATCGCAAGAATTCTTCGGCAGTGTGAACTTTTTCTTAATTACTTAGTTTTTATATGAGTTTACTTGTCACAGGACATAATGTCTGTGAAATTGGTTGCCTAGTGTTCTAGAAGCCACCTTAAGATGGCAGCCGATGTCTTAAAGTTACTTGCATATTCATGTACATTATTAGAAATACAAAAATGTTCAAGGTCTATGTCATTAAAGACACTTGCTGCTAATTCATCAATTCAGCAGCCCAGTAAAGGTTTTAATTATATCATTTAGGTTTATAATGTCCTTATAAAGTGATTTTAATTCGTGTTCTACCGTTTCTCTATTTCTAATATCTTCTAGGATGCCAACTACAAGTACATCACTTTTAGTACAGTAATGTTTACACTTGAATAATAGGCACAACTGTTAAATGTAACTACATGCCTCATACATAACAGCTTACTTCCTTCATCAAAACTACTTCCTTCATCAAAAAGGACTTGAAAAATCGGTTTATTTTGCCATTTCCCGTACTTCTTGATACTGTCTGCCAAATAATGTGTTGTTGAAAAAGCGGTATTTTCGCCAATTTCAGTGCAAATTGTGAATATTTCGTAAATTTCTCGAGACAAATAAGTGTCAATATTCTTTCAACTTCGGATAAATATCCGCTTCGAGAAGTGACAAAAATGATCTGGTAAATCGAACCAAAATCTATATCCTGATATACACACGTGCACTCCATGCTCCGATTACGTGCAAGAAGGACGCTCCACCATAGAAACCTTCGCATTTCCCAACCCTTAAGTTGTAACTTATAGCAACACACGACTTGTTCGGAACCTGAACGCATGAATTTTTACATTCACATAAACTCATCCATTTCTTATTTGTTTGTAAAGCAATCTTATATTTTCTGGTATGCGCTTTAAGAGCCCATTTGTGACCTCTATCAAACGAATTGTGGCACGTTGTTTGTTTGTTTACATCTGCAAAAAAAAAATCAAAAAGGTAAATGGAATGACATGTAAAATATAATGTATTAACATCAATTTAATGGATCAGTCGATTACAAGCATGGCCCGACCCAAGGGGAAATAGCGTGGACTTCCGACTTTTCAAAATTTGACGGAAAATGCTCTCACACTGTGGTTATAACATAAGCTATTTTAAAAAGAAAATGTGATTCGACAGGGACATACGGAACCGGGAAGGTGAAATATAATCACGCCACACTGTCACGAAAATCAGATCGGAGTTAAAATGAACAGTTTTTAGGTTGCTTTAGTTACGTGTCATGAGAAGGTTGTACGAATGTCAATGTAATATAATCCAAATCATTAGGAATGTGGTAGCTAAAGCATAAGGTGGCATCAGGTATTTTCGCCGGAAGATGTTTGTTTTGTTTGGTTGTTTCATTTTACGCCTTTTCCGAACAGTATTTCAGTCATATAGGCGGGTAGTTTCCTAACCATCGTTCCTGGAGAGTTACACCAGTACTAGAATACCTTCCTCCGTGCTAAACTACCAAGCATCTCCCGGGGATCGAACCCACGCTAGAGAGGTAACTGGATTAGAAGTCATCGACTCTAACCCCTCGACCTCGGAGGCGGTCGCCGGAAGATATATACGGTGCAGTGTAACAGATATATACTCGCCGGGAAATATATACGATGAAACAAAAATGTAAGTACATGTTTTTGCCGGCAGATATATACGGTGTAACATATAGTAATATATTTCTCCGGGATATATATGCGGTGTATCAGATATATATTCACCGGTTCACCGGGAGATATAAACGGGGTAAAATATATATATTCGCCAGGAGACATATACGGTACAATAGATATATGTTCGCCGGGAGACATATATGGTGTAACAGATATATTTTCGCCGGGAGATATATACGGTGTAACAGATATATATTCGCCGGGTGATATATACGGTGTAACAGATATAAATTCACCGGGTGATATATACGGTATATCAGCTATATATTGGCCGGGAGATGCATACGGTGAAACAGAGCTTTATTCTTCAGCAGTTAAACATTCGCAAGGGGTATATATACTGTGTTAAAGATATCTTTCCGCTGGGCAGGCGCTATATACAGTGTAATTGTCTATATTATCCCCCGCCAAAAGGCGGTGGGGGATATAGAAATAGTCTTCGTCCGTCCGTCCTTCCGTCCGTCTGTCCGTCTGTCCTTCCGTACAAACCAGAGCTACATTATAGGGTTTGTTCTATTGTTCTCATAACAATAGATGTCTTTGATGTCATTCATTCCGTTTCTCTTGTGGGGTTATTTTCTGCATTGTGGGGTTAAAAAGAACAAAAGAAATAACAAAAGAAAACCCCATAATGTAGCTCTGGTAAGAACATCCGTCCGACATTTTTGTCCAGAGCATATCTCAAAAAGTATTTGAGGTATCAACTTCAAACCTCATAGATGTATAGATCTCATTCAGGAGGAGTGCAGTGCACAAGAATAATTACTCAACCCTGCATAATTTTGAAGTTATTGCCCTTTGTTATTTTTCAAAATTATTTTCTTTTCAGAGCATAACTCAAAACGCCTTTGATATATCAACATGAAACTTCATAGGTGAATGTATCTCACTCAGGAGGTGCGCAATGCACAAGAGTGATAACTCTACCCACCATAATCTTTGAGTTATTGCGCTTTGTTATTTTTCATACTTAATTTTTCACCTGACTGGAGCATAACTCAAATAGTCTTTGAGATGTCAACATGAAACTTCATAGGTGTATTTATCTTATTGAGGATGAAAAATGCGCGCAAGAATGATTACTCTTCCTTATATAATTTTTGAGTAATTGCCCTTTGTTATTTTTCATACTTTTTATGCGGAGCTTGTCTCAAAAATTGTATGAGGTATCAACTTGAAACTTCATAGATGGATGGATGTCATTGAGGAGGAGTGCAATGCACAAGAATGATAACCTACCCTGCATTATTTTTCAGTTATTGCTCTTTGTTATTTTCAGCCATCAGTATTCACATAGGTTTCAAATCTGTAATCAATTCAGCCATCAGTTTTCATTACAAAAAGACCACTTTAAATTGTATTATTCTGCTCTACTACATATACATTTTTCCAATGAGCAAACAAATTCGGCGGGGGATGGCCATGCTAACATGGCTCTTGTTCACCGTGGCTTTACAAGACGTATAAAGCTGGTATTGTCCTAGAACCGAACCACGGGAGGTAAACAAGAATGAATCCTGGTGCAATCAAACAAGGGTAAAAGTCATTCTATTTATTTGAAATATGACATCTTAAATAAACTATTTTACATTATTTGAAACAAGAAATATTTACTTTTAATGCATTCTACGACCGTAGACCACGTTCCATCTGACCGACACGTCATGTTTTTATGAGATGACAACCTGTAACCAGCGTCACAGTGGAAATTACTTATCGTCTCACCTTGAATATATGCCTTTCGTTTTGGGTTATTAAGCTTTGCTACATGATTAGGTAGATCACATGTAGCTAAAAAAGAAGAACAAAAAGAAAATATGTTTTGGCATTTCTAAGAAGCAAATATATAAGACATGAAACTAACATTATATGGTGAGCTTAAACACAAAATAAATATGGCCAATATTGCATAATAATTTTAATAATTAATATCTACCCGCATCAACCCAAAATAACATTTAAAATATACCAATATTTTCATACTTAAAAACTTTCCATACTTATTTAACGTTAATCAGTAACCCATGCTGCAATCAATGCCGATTTCAAAAATGTCCTATGAACTGTCAATAAACATATTTGGCATATTATTATTATTATTATTATTATTATTATTATTATATGTTTAAAATATGAAGCATTGACTGCATACAACCATTACCTGGGATACAGTGATACTCATGGGTCCAGTGACCTTTAATACATGTCGAATATCTTCTTTCGTCGTCTGCGATAGTGATATTCATGTCAGCCATCTTGAATCCGTTTTTGCATACTACTTGAGCGCTTGTACCATTGGGAAAACTATTTACTGCTCCGTCATTTCCGGTGTGAATTTTAAAGTCAATAATGTATGAAGTTCCCTCGAGGATCACAAGTTCGCATGGATCTTTTTTATATAAATAGAAAACAGAAACATTAAAACAAATCTGATCAGGATTTATATTTATTTGAAAACAAATGCACATTTTATTTTTTAAATGTATCAAGCTATAAGTACATGTATGTGATGAAATGAATAGAATATTAATTTGGGTCTTACAAGTTGGTCAGATGAAAGATTATTTCAAGCGGCCGGTGCATGCGCTTAAACTTCACGAATTCAATTTTATAAATTCGATTTCAACTTCACGATTTCAACTTCACGAATTAATGATTTCAACTTCGTGAAATCCATTTCATAAATTAATATTTTGAATTTTAAGATTTCGTTTTCACGAGGTAGAGATCGTGAATTCACTAAGTTGAAATCGTGATGTTGAAAACGTGAATTCATAAAGATATCGATATTTTTCTTATGTGCGTTTGACTGTTATCTACAATTAAAAAATGTTTACCAGGTGTGCATTTGATCGTAATTAAATTTGACCACATCCCTAGGTCACACGTACTTTCAATAGAATTCATAGACTCAAAGAAGTGAAATCCATCTTCGCATTTAAAGGTTACCTGTGTAAAAAGTGAGAAAAATAAACAAAAACATTAATAAAACAATCAAACAAACAGCAAAGTATTCAGAAGATTATATTATACTAGGCTTATTGATGAATTCAAAATCAAACATGTGGAATGGCTTTTTTTAGATTTGTCGAAGCAACATAATATAATACAAGTATTACATGATAACATATTTATTTATGTTAAATCCATTAATTTGGCAATCTTTCGCAGGTTGTGTAATTAAGGAAGTTAAAAATTCTGACTCAACTATTTGATGCTTTGTAACACCGCAAAACGTCCATACCCAAACGTACGTTACGTACGCGTGTGGACGTTTTGCGTCGCATATCGTACACATGTGGACGTTTTGCGGTGCATATCGTACTTGGTATGTTTTGCGGCGAGAGTGTGTCTTTGCGTCGCATATCGTCCATATTTTCTGTGTTAAAATATATTCATTATAAACGTTACTTTTATTGGTTCTTGTTTCAGTTACAGATATGACGAAATAAACATTAAATTTCAATATTTTTGTGATCCTATATAATTCTGACTTTTTTTATTTAAAAAAAAAGAAATATGCTTAAGCCGAGGATGTTTTTCGAATAGATATTTTTATGGAATGGACCAAGCAGCAGCAGCAGCAGCAGCAGAGATATAAAAACGATGATATTGAAATTTATGTAATCTTATAGACATTCAGAAAAGACGGCTATACGGACGGACGAACCGGGGATTCGACTGAGTGAATGACAAAAAATATTAAAATTAAGCTTTGCTTTTGACAAAAGCTTTGCATATAATTGCATCAAGAAGTAGGACTGATTTGTTGTGTTCTTGTTGACAATGTAGGTTTGGTTCTACCTTTCATTTTTACGGGGGATGGATGTGGGCTTTTGACAGCGTAGTCATATTTGAGCGAGAGAGCTATATTGTCATGGAGATGGGGCCTTTAAGTCACCTAGTCATAATTGAGCAAGAGAGCTTTTGTCGCGGGGCCGGGTGTGGGGATGGGTGTGCTTTTAGCCGCCTAGTCATATTTGAGAGAGAGAGAGAGAGCTTTTGTCGAGGGAGGGAGATTTTAGCCGCCTTGTCATATCTGAGTGAGAGAGCTATTGTTGTGATTGGGAGGGGGGGGGGCTTTAGCCGCCGCGTCATATTTGAGCAAGAGTGCATTTATCGGGTCGCGGACTTTTAGCCGCCTAGTTATATTTGAGCAAATTGTAATTTTTGAACAACATCGAAATCTGGAAAAAAATGACGATAGTGCGCATTTCTGCTTAACATTTTGAACTACAAATCTAGTAAATGCAAGTTTGAAATTGTCATAAAATATAACTTTGAAAAATGATTAAATCTATAGGTTAGTCGGAAAGTCCGTCGCTTTACTTAAACCGTATTATTTTATCGCCTGAAGAACAAAACGTTTCGCCCATAAGTTACATAGATAATGTGTAATAGAGTATATTATAACGAACATTCTACCGCATAGGAAATGATGAAAAACAAGTTCAATGTGTTCTATTGATAAAAACTAAAGCATATTTTAAAATATCGTAATGTAAGCGTTTTGTTTAAATGCCATACTGTAATTTTATAATTGAACAGTGTAATTTTATAACTGAACAAAGCAAAAAGGTCATGGTGGCCTTATATCGCCCACCTGCCTATAAAGGCTCCACATGACAAGGGTAGATAGCATTGAATATTACAAATAAAAAGCAAGTACATTTCATGTACTTGGTCAGAATCTGGGTAACTGATATCAGTACTCAATTCTACGTCTGAAATGGTCAATAATATCCAAATACCTGTAAATGACAAAGATATGGTAATTTAAGCAAAATTCAATAGTGACCTTGAGGTCAAGGTCATTTCAAGGTCAATATTATAGTTGAACTATTCAAGATGTCCGTCCTGTCATAAATGTATGAATGACATCTGATCATTGATAACAAAGAAATGGAGGATTTATCACAATTCAATAATTTGATTTTAAAATATGTCTTTATTTTTCTTTTTCAAAGGCAAATAACTCTTGACATATTCAGTCGTTTAAGCTCATAAATGAACTTGATCGAGACCTTATTGTTATACATATTCTGTATAAAAAAAATTAAGAATGGAGAAGAAACGAAAGCTCTAACAAGGTGAAATATAATGCGTTTTTGTTTGTTTTTTTTTTTTGTTAGATTTAGCCTATAATCTAACTTTGTTGAGATTTTAAGGTCATAGATATTCTGTTGAAAATTGTCAAGATTGAAGAAGAAATGAAAGAGTTGTAGTGGTAACAATGTGAAATATAACAGATATTGTAATCCAGGGGCAGATAACTCTGGACATATTGCTTAGGGTATGTGGATGCTAGAGTGGTAACAGGCTAGACAGACAGGCGCAAAGTCAGGTGAGCTAAAATTAACACACACTAACACCTGATAATAACGGGTCAAAATTAACGAAAATTATATAAACTTTAAAATATGGACGTTATGCGGCAGGACCATGCCTTTTTGCCGCAAAATGTAAGTCAGAAAAATGTGGACTATATGCGCCGTAAAACGTCCATATACGTACGTTTTGCGGTACGGACGTTTTGCGGTGTTACAATGCTTAATTGATATAAATGATAAATATTTGCAAATCACGTCTCAGTTTAACGATAAAACATGGCTGTTATAATCTTCTCCCTAGTTCATTTATAAGGTACTATATGGACTAAATGAACAGTCATTATGTTAAAGATATCTCGTTATGTGTCTCTGTTTAAATCACTTCTTTTCATTCAAATTTGTAAAAGACAATTCCAGTCTGTAAGAATTGAAATTTTAAATTCTAGATATATTAAGTTGGAATACCTTTTGCGCATGTGCATAAACCTGTTTCTCTACCGGCAATACATGTTCAAATTCAGGTACTTTACAACCTTCTGCAAACAAGAAGAGAAAAAAGAAATAACTTGATAAACAGAATTAGCAACGATACATTTTTATTTTTAGGAAAATGTTTATTTTAGTCTTTCAATATAGTATTGACTTTCAAACAATTTTAAGTTCTATATCAATCATTCAGAGGGATTTTAAATAGGTCTTGAAATACCCATCTTAGCTAAATCATAATTTATTGTTTTACAACATGTTGTTCAAACTAATTTCCACAATGTAGAAAAACATGGTTTACTAGTATATATTTGAATGTTCAAGAACAAACTAAAATATATATCTGTATTAGAAAGGATTAAAAAATATAACAAAACATTAATGTAATAGTAGCATTACTTAGTAATAATTATACTAGTACATACTTGGAACACATTGGAAAGAGTTTGTCCAGTTGCCTAACACGCAAGTTGAAAGCGTTCCTGGTCTAATAACATCGCCAGACATTTTATCCAACAGTTTGTAGCCACGTTTGCAATTCATTTCAAGAATTGTTCCATTTAAAAATGTATGATGTCCTTTCTCAATAGAACGCAACGAGTAAATGCTGAAAACCATCATTCCGTCGTTGACAACAAATTCGCAGGGATCTATTTATAGAACATATAGGGAAAAAACAACAATTTGTTTACAGGTTTCTACTTGAAGGTAGTATACAATATATCAGAGTCAAAATAATGCAATACCTGGAATAAGATAAACAAGTAAAGATACTGTAAACTAATTACTTAGAAAATGATTTGAAATTCTATGATACTTTTTTAAAAGATAGTATCATCTTTTAAGGTATTTGAAATAAAATGTATATATTAATAACGGAAAGTGACGAATATAATCGGATTTTAATGAGCAAGTAAATGAAATGTTTTGAAACTCACTTGGTGTACATACTGGAAATTTGTCGACATCAAATTCTCCGTTTCGACATCTAGTTGTCATTTGATTTAATATGGTATATCCTCTGTCACATTTGACAGAAATCTGTCATGGCAAAAGTCATAAAATTCAATTTTTATAACATTTTAGAATATTCAACAAATACAAAAAAGATTGCCTTTAAAGCAACCTTCATCATGGTCATTTTTTAAATGTGAAGTTGTTTTTCTTTATACATGTTTTACTTTTGACTTGTCCGTAAGCTCAATGTTTACTTTAATTATAGGTAGAGAATAGTCAACAGAATTTAAAGCTTTTTCAGAAGAATGAAAATATCTACTTTTCGAGAAAATGAATTTTATACTCAACATTTTACAAATTAAAGAAACCTTTTTTCCTCCACAAAATGCATATTACTTTTTTCAAGAAAATCTATATACATGTAATTGAAACTTTTAAGAGGATAAAAATATGCATTTTTTAAGAGAATGCAATAATCTTTCATTCATAGGAAACCATATATAATAACCATATTTCAGGAAAATACTAATTATAGTAATAACGTGTTACGATGAACGGTCAATGGTCTATTTTTCGAAAGTAATGTTTTAAATAAACAACGCCATGAAGCCTGGTGTCATTTAACCGTCTATTATTAGAAACCAATCGTTGATGGCTTTACGGGAATATAGGGTATTGGCCAACCAATCAAAACCAATGTTACATAAAGCAAACATCATGTGTAAAGTATAAAATCGGGTGTCAAGAAATACAACTATCAGTCTTTCGGATAAGACTTTAAATCGAGGTCCCGTGTATGGGTGCTTAAACACTTGGCACGCTAAAGAACCAGGAGAAGCTTCTGGAATTGGGGCATCTTTCTGTATCTGTAATTGCACTATCCTATTGCACAAAAAAATAAAATTACTAATACTCTTCTGGAGGACTCGCCCATATGGGCAACCGGTGGCGAGTATAAATAAACGCAAATACACACACACTACAACTATGAAATATTAAATAAAAAAGCGCATTGCTTCGCATTTGCACGCTTTAGAAAGGGATCCCAAAACCGAATTCTGCAATCTTAGTCCGCGTTTTAGGGCGTATATGCGTGTAAAAATAAATCTTTAAAACAATTCGAACTTTTGGACTCTGGAAATGAAAACGAGGCTAGAGGGTGTGTGATGAATGTAATTTTTTTCCAAGTAAATCTACTTACTAGTATCTGCTTTTCAAGAGAATAAAAAATATAGCATTTTAAAAGAAAGCACAAACCCTCTATTCATTTTAATTAAAATATTAATATATACAAACACTTTTGTTATGGCCGATTTCAAATTGTACAATCTCTCCAGATCGTGTTTCCTTCGCAAATCCGAACGGTATCTCTGGAATTAAGCATGGGTCCGTACAAAAATAAGATTTCTCAATAGAAAATCTACATGTCACTCTGTCCAACTCTCCTGGGAATCTTTCTCCCTGTCTACTAAGTACAGTCACAAGCTCATCTAAAAAAAGATTAAATTTAGTAAGCCAGCATATATTTGCATCAAAGCTGCATGCCTCCAGATGGGCCGAAAAATTTCAAGAAAATCAATCTTGAGAAAAATGTACCAAGTGTATAGGAAAAGTAAAATTATTGATAATTCAAGAACTTATAAGCTATATGCAATTAATGACTGATTTAACAGTAGGTACTACCATATAACTAATGCGATACTAACGCAGTAATGGCTATTTTTCCATATTACGGGGTGTCTTTTGGTAATTTTTGTAAATTTCAAGTCCCGTTTGCAATGTATAAAATGCAAGGACTATCTTTGTTCACTTCACAATACTTTATCCATTCATACATTTTTAAATTTCTCATAAAAATTAACATGAATCTGGAGGCATGCTGCTTTAGGCTTTTCGCCTTAATTTACGTTCAGAGGCTTGTGATTATATTTAATAACACCGCCGAGGAGGTTTGTTACAAGATTTATTCCACTAAACAGTATAACTCGATATTCGAAAACGCAATGTTCTATATAATGATTTCATTAACTTAACTTGTACTTATCATGCAAAATATCTTAAATGGACTTGGCCATCTTTTAATCCGGACAAAACCATTCATCAATTTCAGGGAAATTTCAAAATATAATCATACTAGCTGAAAAGCGAACAATGCAGGCGATGATCAGAGGCATTGGTCACATGGGAAGACTCTGTTGCCGCAAAAGGGCTACAAGTAAAACATAAGTACCTAAAAAGGGTATGTGTACCTTTAACAAAATAGAAAGGCATTATATAACCTGACTATAGAATAAAAAAACGTTTTTGGTGTTTATTTTTCCTATACTTACCAATACTGACATGAATCGTTCACGACCAAAAACCTCGACAAGCCTTGCCCCTACTCACCGCCCCAGTGAGTATAAATGTTCTTCCGATAAATTGTTTTGTTTAAACAATGGACAGCTTTAACATGTTTAAACATATAAACTTTGTACTGACCTGGAATACATTTATACAATTCTATGGAATTATATGAGCCTCGTCTGCAGGCAACAGATACTGCCCCGTTAACCTCAGCAGCGACACCATCTTCCGAATGGTAAAGTGTGTATCCCGTTCTACATCCCACTTGTAATAACGTACCACTGGAAATTTTGAAATTAGCCGGTTTACAACTGTCTGGGTCATCGGTCCAAAGGCATGATTCTTTAGACACACTTGTATCGCATCTTCCTTGAATATAAAAAATCAAAAATCATCAAAAAGTATAACTACTTATTAATGGAAATCGACGTTACAAACGTGCTGTAAAACAAAACGAATAAATCAAACGTCATGATTGTCCCTTGAAAAATATTACAAACTTGCAGTTTTATAAGACTTGTTTGATTGTCCAATGAATTTCGGCGTTACATACGTGCACTTTGATTGCCAAATTTTTCCAATGAAAATCGATGTTACAATTGTGGGAATTTTATTGAAATTTCATCAATAATATCAACGCCTGATTGTCAAATTAAAACCGACCTTAGAAACGTGCAGTATTACAAGAAATTTTTAATTGTCATCGATTGACCACTGATAACCAACCTTTAAGGTATCGACCCAAATGTTGTGCGCGACACGTCATATCAATATGGTGATCATTTCTGTGAAATAATTGTACAATCGACTTCAAATAACAAAGTTGCAACATATCTGTGATAAAAACATGAATGAATAAGTGTGGGTTAGGGACTTTGGATTCTTTCATGTGTCAGCTGTCTAGCTAGCTTACGAAACGCCGGTGGTTCTACTCAGGTGCCCGTTCGTGTCTGAAACTTTTGCCCGGAAGGGCACTTGAAATTTTCCTCCAACAGTAAAGCTGAAAAGTCGCCATATGACCTATACTGTGTTTGTGCGACGTAAAACCAAATAAAGACAATATTTACCTAATTCAAATTTGGTCACATCTGGGAACGTAATCACACTTACTGTGGTTGAATCTAAAATAGCAATATACAAACGTTGTTGAGTATTGAATAAGGGACATGTATATCTTTAAAATATTTTGAAATATTTATGGAAATGAATAATTGGTATTGATAATTGGTTCTGTGTGTAAAGTCTTTTTCATAAATACTATATTGATTATTTGTTCAGCGACTTTTGTGTGTAAATCTTTATAATTATTTGTTTATTAATCTTAATCTCACATATTTCTTTGATAAGTGCTAAGTGATAACATTCCATCATCATCATCATCATCATCATCATTCTCATCAGCTTGAAGTTTTGTGTTATCTTTGGTGAAAATTACACGTGTATGAACAAGAGCCGGTTGAACTGGGTGATGCTGCCCGACTAGGTTTTGGACACAGGAAAGTATATCTTTTGTAGTTTCAGAGTTATGTCCCAGGCAAAGTTCAAAGTGTGATAATTCCAACATTAGGCAAGGCAGAGTTACTGTTCTTTGCAATGCACCTCTACTCCATCGGATCCATCGACCGACTTTCGCGCAACCATTCGTCTCAATACGGCTATCATTTCTGTGAAATAATTGTAAAATCCGACTTCAAAAAACGAAGTTATGAGCCGGACACGATTTTGCTGCAAGGTCATGCTGTTACCTTGACCTTTAAGGTAGCGACCCAAATGTTGGGCGCGACACGTCATATCAATATGGTGATCATTTCTGTGAAATAATTGTAGAAACGACTTCAAATAACAAAGTTATGGGCCGGACACGAGTTCGGGACGTACGTACGGACGGACGGACTGACGGACAGACGGACAACCCGGCGACTCTATGCTCCCCCTAAATTTTTCGGGAGCATAATAATGATAAAGAAATCTCCATGCAATCAAACTATAGACCGATGTGGTCAAGCTCTTTTTTATGTACAACAGTCCACTTCACTACTGTGAATATTAATAATATTACTTCGTTTTTACGAAATATTAATTCGTTTTTACGAAATATCAATTCGTGATTACGAAATATTAATTCTTTTTTACAAAATATTAATTCGTAATAACGAAACATTAATTCGTTATAATGAAATATTATTTCGTAATTACGAAATATTATTTCGTAAAAACGAAAAGGTATTTCGTAATTACGAAATAATAATTCGTAAAAGGAAATAATATTTCGTAATAACAAATTAATTTTTTCTGGGGTTTCAAAGTGTTTTGGTAATATTTATAAAAAAGCCGTGAAACTTGACTAAATGTGGCATGTAAATGCAATATAAATAGTGATTCGTTTTCTCCCCAAGTTTTATAACTTAACACTTTTGTATATAAATTAAAATAATAGCCTGTCAATACCTTTGCTACGGAGCGCCTAAGGTGACATTTCCTACACTTTTTTCCCGGAACTTTATTCTTTTTTCCGAAATAAACTTTCGTAATTACGAAATATTATTCGTTTCTACGAAATATTAACTCGTTTTTACAAAATATTAATTCGAAATTACGAAATATTTATTCGTTTTTACGAACTCTTAAATTCGTTTTTACGAAATACTATTTCCTAAGTAAGAAATATTATTTTTAAAGACAAAATCTTATTTCGTTATAATAATAACAAAATTATAATTCGTAAATACGAAATAATATTGAGTAAAAACGAATTAATTTTTTTCTAGGGTGTCAAAGAGTTTTGGTTATATTTATAAAGAAGGACATAAGGCATGTTAATGCAACATAAATAGTGATTTTTTTCTCAGTAACACTTATGTTTATGAATTAAAATAATCGCCTGTCACTAGCGTTGCCAACACAGTCGTGATAGTGCACGCGCTCAGAAAATTTGGTTAAAATTGGGGTCCTGTGCTTCAAATCCATCGATTTGTCGATGTTATTGAGTTTTGAAATGAAATATTATGTTTTTTATGATAGCATGGTGCCCAAACATAAATTGTAAGGAAATATACTTTTTTAAAAATTGATGAGATTAGTAAAAATCTGGAGCCCCCTTTTAGTTTTACAAATGTATATGCAGGCTTTCAATTGGCCAATAACAAAAAAGTAGGGATAAAAGTAGGATTTTTTTTTGTAAAATGTAGGGATTTTCAGAGTCTAAAAGTAGGGAAAGTAGGACTCTCTACTCACCTTTTTTTCCCAAAGTTGATGCAAAAACAAATACAGACCCTTATCAACTAATATTCATGGCATTTTTCTTCATTTAGGAAACCAGTCATTAGTGTCTCAATAGGGATTCCACAACAGGATGAATCTGGACATGAACCTGGAATTGATATTTTTTTATTTGATCCAATTCCAAATAATAACAGAAAACTATAAACAATGAATATGTCAGATCACAGATTATAAGCAACATTAAACATTAAGTAAGCATGTTTTTTGTACACAGACTAGAAACAACCTTAATGTTTAAGATAGCATGGTTGTTACAAAATACAAACAAGAAAAATGTTATGTGCAAAACATGGTTTTAGCTAACATAATATGTTACACAAAGATAGGTGTTAAAACATGATTTTTTAACTAGCATTATAACACACTAGAAAATGAAAAGGAATAAATGTTAAAAACGCAAAGGTTTACTAGCATCCTAGATATGCATGGAGTTTACATGGGCATGCAAAATAGATACTTGTAACAACCAAAAGTAAATTTTAAGATATATACACAAGCACTTAGTATCCAAAGTTAGTACATGCAAAACTGACAAATCAAAGCAAGGGTTCACACTTCATAATGTATTGCATAACTATAGATATAAGTATAGTAAAGCCTGCTACCCAAAGAAATATATGCACACAACTACAGAGCAAAGCATATACATTAACATGCATTGTTAAATTTTGTGAGTCCATGTGGCATTGTGAAGTTATTGTTTATAAATTAATGGACCTGAAATAATAAATTGTTAGTAAAATGGAATTTAAAAAGAAACTTAATGACACTTAATTGCGAGAAATGTAAGTAGGTTTCAGATAGATGAGTATTTATGCCATATTATATATGTATATTTAAAGATAGAGAGCAAAAACTTTGGATGCAACAACAATCTCTCACATCTTTAATGGTTATTACTAATATTTAGCACACTGAAAGCCTAAACACACTTTAAGTTATTCTTAAATTATCTGTTATAAGATAAAGATTCCTAATACCCCACCATATTAAAGCTATCAAATTCTATATAATTAAAGCATACATATTTTTTAGAAACACTCACTTCATTTTTCCAGTATCTTTCATTCAATGAAAATTCAGGACAAAATGATCACAGTGAGCAACTTCAATACTTGCCAATATGCCAAACATTGCCAAAATTCTATATATGCTCAAAATGTTGGCAAGTATTGCCCCTTAGAATAAGCATCATTGGGAAACAATTGAGAAGCTAGTCTGTGTACAAAAACATATTATAATTTTGAAATGAAACAATTTAGAAGCTAGTCTGTGTACAAAAACATATTATAATTTTGAAATGAAACATAAAAAAATTGAACACTAAGCAATATTTCTTTATAAGCAAACTCACCTAAAGTCGCAGATTCTGCCATGTCAGCTCCAACCATCCTCATCATGGAACCCCTCTTGCACCACTGATGACCTACTTCCATCAACTTTTTCCTACAATTAAACTAGCACCTGATTCTTATTTAATTTGAGACAAAGATTCTATCAAAATCAATCTACTACTTATACTGGATTTTTAATCAATTATCCCCGAGCTTTTTTCTTAAAAAAGTAGGGATAGTAGGGCATTTCAAGAAAAAAGTAGGGAAAAGTAGGGGTCAAACAAAAAAAGTAGGGAAAAATAGGAAAAATAAGAAAAGTAGGGTCCGCTTGAAAGCCTGTATATGATAAAAGAAAGTAATAATATAGCATGTTTCTTTTAAAAGGAATATGTCAGAAAAGATAAATAGCCTCAAAAATTAAAACATTGCTGATAGGAACATGCATGTGACAATGGGAAAAAGAGTATATTTTGGATTGAGAATGACTCACTCAAAAACGCTGTTAACTTAAATATATTAACTTGAGAACCATTCGGCTTATTATAGCAAGGTTGATCCAGGCTTGAAAATTACCCCTTTGTGAGATTGATAGTTTTTTTTGTCAAACTCACAATAACTTTAACTAAGATTTCGTAAAAACGAATTAATATTCCGTAATTACGAATTCATAGTTTGTAGAAACGAATTATTATTTCGTAAATTACGAATTCACATTTCGTAATTACGAATTCACATTTCGTTAAAACGAATTACATGTATTATTTCGTAAAAAACGTATAACTATTTCGTAAAAATGGCTTACGAGGCCTTATCAGTCACACATATGATGACGGGTGCACACTTATGAGGGAGTTCCTGCATTATTGTTCAACAATTTCTTCTCAGTTAAACTGCGCCCACGTCGTGCAGAAATTTGCTCTATTTTATTTTTATTAATATCAAATTTGCCTTATATTTATAACAGTCGGCTATAAACTTGGGATCTTCAATTTAAAATTGAGCAATTTATTACCAAATTGCAGCAGGTTTACGGTAATGAGCTTCAAAGACTGCAAATAATTTACCAAAGATATTTGCAATTATTATCTTACATGCTCTATATATTACATTCAACACAAAAACACACCGTCTTTGTATTTCAACAGTTGGTCTTTTAGATTTTCTACCTTTACAAGATTCTAACATGAATCCTGTCATAGAATAACTTTAACCCATACACATAATAAATTAGATTTAACCAGTTTTTTTAACCTTTCTTTTCATCTTTTTTCTTTTCTTCTTTCTCCTTTTCTTCTTTTTTCTTTTCTTCTTTCTCCTTTTCTTCTTTCTTCTTTTCTTCTTTCTCCTTTTCTTTTTTCTCTATTGTATCATTTATCCAGTCTAGAAGTTCTTCTGTGAGCTTGGTGTAGAATCCATATTTTCCACTTTGCTTGCATCCGAACCCAAATGAAACTATCCCTAAATGAGTGGAATATTTTTTTATTTTACATTATTTAGTAATTTTTCCTTTCTTCTTAAATGAACATTTTCTATAACATGAGCTGTGCACTTAATATATTCATTAAACGATAAAATATTTTCAAATTGTCCGTTCTTTGATTTCGTCCAATTTGAAGTAAGAATATATCTGTGTTTTGAGTAAGTTGGCCGCAAAAATGTTTTAAGAGATCACGTTAAACTTTATGTTCATATAAGAATCTGCTAGTGTCTATAAAAAGTGTAAGTGTAAATTGAATTGGTCTTTTATACAATGTATAATTACATTGATTAAGTATTACATATAACAACAAACCTAGAAAGAAAGAATTATACATGAACGCTTTGACAAGTGTAATATTCATGATCCGATATTACTCATATTTATATAGCAAATGATAAAGTGTTCTAGAACGATATCATTATTTATCTGAAAAATGATCATTCTTCATCACTTAGAACTTGATCACATTTTTCCTCAAGCAGCATCTAATAACTGTTATATCAATATTTGAAATACTAATGGAAAATGTGCCCATTGTTGGCCTATCCTCTTTAACTGTATAATAAAATTATTCAAGAGTAGAAATACAAATTGCACATAATAGAGAGAAACACTTACCGGTCTGAATAAATTTGCGTTCATCCAGAGGATGCCGAACAACAAAAGGACCGCCACTATCGCCTTCGCATGCGTCAATGATTTGATTCTTACCATCTACAATTTCTTTAACGGATGTGTAAGCGATGAATTATTAGTGCTATCTTTAATTCATAAATTTGCACATGCAACAATAATTAATCTTAAAAACTAATGATTCGAGATGGTTTCAAATATTTCCGTTCTGGCCTTAAAACATTGTATACATGACACTCAAGGGAAATTCCCGAAATGGTGCCCGAACCTGGTTACATTTTTCATTTTTATGTTTCATAGGGGCTAACAAAGGAAATTTACGTTATGTGTTAAAAAAAAACCCCATAAACACATCCCCTTTAATTTGGGAAAATAAAAGTCGACTTTAGTTTTTCTTTAAAAAGGGCCCAAAAAAATTATAATTAATACCAAAAAATTAATTAAAAGAATGAAAAAAATTAACGTTTAAAAAACTTGATGTCTCAAAGAAAAGGTGTAAGTGAGTATTTTATATAATTAAATAGGTGAACAGAATCCAATATTTTAAAATACTGCATGCTTGTTTTTAAATCCTTATATAGATTACAGTACTAAAAAGTCTCCAGCAACATATATACCAGCAAGCGATAAAGCAACTGTTAAATAATTTCATTTTCAATACGAACCCTCTCCCCCGGCGCAGAACATAAGACCAGGGCTGACATGAGCCTTCTCTTGAGACGTCAACTTTTCAAGACATTCCTTTGATGATTTCACTTCCATTTGCATTTGCTTCAATGTTTCTGCAAGTTTCGTCTTCGATAACGTGTTTGTTTTTCCCCATCCAGTGACAACACCGTATGTTTTATTAAACAGTTTTGTATAAGTGACTCCTGTAGTTTCGCCTGAAATATTTTTTTTTATATTTTAAACGCATATAATGTGTCACATAATGCAATAAGAGGAAAAGCAAATAAGTAATTTTAGTATAACAAACATATATAGAGCAATATTGTAACACTAAACAAAAGTGCGCAATATCCTTTCCTTAAAAAATAATACAACGATAATGTACAGTTCGATATCATCACATATAAAAACTAGTAGAGCATTGCGTCACATGTAATAACCTTAGCAATATCCCAACATATTATAACATAATTAAGTGATATCTTAACAAACATTTACCTAAAAGTGCGTTATCGTAAAATTTTATAACCGTTGAAAGCAGTATTGTAATATATTATAGCATAAAAGAAAATTACTGCAATATTTTAACCTTTTAGAGCGATATCGTGAAATATGCAAACGTAAAAGAGCGATATGGTAATACACGATAACCTTAAAGAGCGATATCTTCACCTATTAACAAAACATATTAGAGTATCAAAGAGCGATATCGTTACAAATAATAACCTATTAGACCGGTAACAGAACAGAACACGATCTCTTGACATGAAAAATACCTGAGTAAACAAAATTCCTTAGTATAATAAACTGAATGATATAAACTGACTACTTATAGCACCTTTTTGATTATATAGAACGAAAACATTACATTCAATAAAACCGTCTGATATAGCAATATCGTATTATATAATTGTAGAGTAATGAACACCATGTAAAAAACAACCTAAAAGAGCGTAAAAGTCACATAGAATATGAGATGTAGCAACATATGGAATGCTAATAGAACGATATCTTTACATAAAATAACGTTTAAGTCTTACATCGTTACAAATAAAAACGTTAAAAGGCGATACCGTAAGATATCAAAACTAAATAGAGTAATGTCGTAAATTATAATCACCTAATAAGCGATATAAGTATACTTATGACAAGGGCAACATTGTCGCAACGCAAGATACGCCCTAACAGAGATGTGGGCATTATAGATATGAATATAGGAGATATGCTCTGGGCAATTTTCGGAAAATGTCTGGATATTTAATCTCTAGTGACATTGACCTTGCAAACATTAACCTAAATTACATTTGTCACACTTGCAGGCATTATAGTTATCATTTGTGTTACAATCTGATGACGAAATGATGACTAAATGATCCCCGTACACAAACTTTGACCTCTCTATGTGACCTTGACTTTGGTAGCCGGGACCTTGATTATATGCGCAATTAACCTCACCATGGTGAACATTTGTGCCAAGTTGCAATAAAATCCCATAATGAATGTAGAAGTTCAACTTAAAACAAGCTCAGAACAAGCATTTTTCAATGACCCTATGTGTGACCTTAACCTTCAATCGAGAGACCGCCTCCGTGGTCGAGGAATTTAGAGTCGATGACTTCTTATCCTGGTACCTCTCTTGCGTGGGTTCGATCCCCGGGAGATGCATTGGTAGTTTAGCGCAGAGGAAGGTAGTCTAGTACTGGTGTAACTCTCCAGGAACGATGGTTAGGAAACTACCCGTCTATTTGAATGAAATACTGTTGGGAAAAGGCGTAAAATGAAACAAACAATCTAGAGACCTGGTTCATGCACGTGGCACCGCTTCTCATAGTGGTAAACGTTTCTATTAAGTCTCATAAGAATTCCACCATATGTGGAGGAGATAAATGCTCTTGACAAAATCTCTATATTTTATCATCTTTAGTGACATTGACCTTGCTTATATTTACTTAAATGACATGTTTCGAATCAGTAGTTATGATAATGACCATTTGTGTTTCGATCCCTCAATAAAGAATACTAAATGGTCAGAATACACATTTTCATATTTTTATCTGAATTTTGATCCTTTTGTGTGACCTTGATCATGGCTGCAGGAACCTTAATTTTGTACGCGACACGTGAATATTTGTTCCAAGTTATATTGAAATCCCCATATACACTATATATATATATATATATAATTTTTGTTCCGGACAAGCGTTTTTCAATTACCTCTAAGTGTGACCTTTAACCTAAAGACATGGTTCATGTGCGCAATACGGCTTCTATACTTCACAACAGCAGGTGTCAAGTGCTGTGTGGCAGCTGTAAAAAGTTGCCCTGGTTCTTAACTTCAGTGTTGTAATATTTTTCTGGTCTATCGGGATCATTGATACCAGCACTACTAAGTGTTTAGAATTGAGTACTGCTCAAGCCGGTGCTAGGGGCGTTAAGGATGTTGCACTTATTCATTATCCCTCATGTACAGACTCAATTAAACCGAGATGCAATTTTCATGTAATTTTGTTGTGATTAATGCTTCCGAGGGATCACTTTGTTTCCAGATTCTTATAGTGGTGAACATTTGTATGAAGTTTCATTAAAATGCCTCATGTGTGTAGTATTTATGGACAAAAATTACATATCGGGACAACCAATAAAATAATAAAGCGAATTGATAGGTATGTAAACAAAAAGTAGCGGTAAAAACAAAAAATTAATTTCCACATTACACTTAATATACAGACAGAAAGAAAGTTATCAGAATCAAAGATGGTCATGAGGTGTATATTTTACGTTCAGTTGTTTATTATTGGTCAAATAGTACCCTAGATAGCTTTCAACAACTGTTGAACATCACGTAGAATTGAAATTTATATAATTTTCTATTGATTCACATGTGGTCCGTCCGGTCATTTGCATTTTGTTGAAATAATTGGTTATGCTCTTATGGTTAAAACCTGAATTTGAAAACTGTTGAACATTCAAATACATTCATTTACAAATCTAATCAACGACATTAATATAACTGAATATATTTTTTATTATGTCACTTTTAAGGGATCCGTACACTATCCATCTTTACCTCTAAATTAAAGCTAGAAGGTTTTTTTTGTCACACAAAAAATGTCTACCTAAACAAGTTATAGTACTGATCACTCCTTTGATTTTTGGTCAAAACCCCACAAGCAGTTTGATCTTTGAAAGCCGGACAAGACTTTTTTTACCCGGACGGCCACTTTGTGCAAGGAAGCAGAACTTGCAGGGCATATGCACAACTAATGGTTCTGGTCACTCCTGTGAAGTTTCATTGAAATCCGTCCAGCAGTTTGACCTGTGAAAGCAAGACTAGCTAAATGCGACGAACGGACGGACAGACAGACAGATGGACGGACGAACAGACTGACGGCGATAGCAAAAACAATATGTCTCCCAAACAGTTTGGGAGATATATTCTTTAAAGCAATATATTTGAAAAAAATAATTATACTCGCATAACATTAAATTAAAGTAATTATCTTTGCATAAAAAGTTATTCGTCGAGGCTGTTTAAACAACTGTTTGTAGGCTAAATAAACATCTATTCGCTGTGGCTGTTAAAATATGTTCTTTCATTAAAACGTATAAGCTTAAACTGGAAAATACTTTGAATGGTTTTGTCCCATAAACAAACTGGCAGCACTTCGAGCTTCCGGTTTATCTTTTGACTGAGTCTTACTAATGCAATATCATATTTATGGCTTCCTTTATTGTAACGTTCGTGTTTGTGTATCGTTGATATAATGTACTCGTCCCCATTTCCATCTCTTAATCCATTAAGATTTGTCTTTCCTGAAAAAATAAAATGCAAACATTCTGTAAGTGCTATGCATAAATTAACAAATATATCAATAAACAATACATACAGTGTAATCAGAGAATGTCCCCAAGTATTTGCTTAATGCCCTTCAATATGTAGCAAAGGTTCTCTAAGTATCTTGCTAATAGTAACTGGCCTTATATCTCAAATATTTTCACATACTCCTAAATAGTTCAGTTCTTATATCCTCAATGGTTTTGACATAAATTATCTTTATAAAGCTCTAGACCAAAGTTCCAGACAACTCAGGCCATTTGTATCAAAAGATTTGATTAAAAAAGGTACATTTTTTTATCAAATATTCACAAAAATATCAGCTTAATATTGTAAAATTCCTATATAATTAAACATAACATTTATCATATCATTTTTACATTTTTTATTCATATGTATTGAATGTCATATATCTTTAATCTGCTTGTATGGCTATATTCATTTCCCCCACAAAATGTTGAACAACCTGATTGAATGATTGTAGTCCAATTCAGATATTAAGGGTGGTAAGTGCTAAATGCAGAGCACCAGTTTAGCACATAAACATTATATATTCAAACTATGGGAACACATCAGCATTATATATTCAAAATATGGGAAGAAATTGCTCAATGCGAAACTAGTCTATGTGCATTTTTTTTTCAAATAATCAGGAGAAGGAAAAAGCTTTTCCAATTCTTGTTTTTTCCAATATAATATAAATTTAGATATAGCATGTAATTTAGAAAGCTTAAATCATACTAATTGCAGTTGTAGATATGAAATTCAGTTACGGCTTTTAAAGAATCATTTCATTGTTTGAGTAAAGTTAACTAAACGCATACATAACTGCCGTATGCTTTATGAAAACTTGAAAAGCAATGACAGCCATCAGCCTGAAGAATAAGTAAACAACCTAGAATTCGTAAGAATTTCAAGTTCTCCAATTTCCTAGCCGCTTTTTAAATGTTTACACATCTGTCAACACTTATTTATTGTGTGTTACAATCCTTAAATAAGTTATCTTTCTTTTAAAAAGGTGTATGACTGTCACAATAGGGACTACGATGGGATACCAGGCCGACCACAATTGCTATCTAAAACAACCAACAACTCAGAACAGAAAATATATACAAATTTATTTACAAGAAACGAATATTTATAAATGAAAAATGATTATATATGAAAAATCACTGCGCAAACAAACGCTATCAACGTATCTCAGTCTATTTCTCCCGTAAAGTTTCTGTCATGATGTTTCAATAAAGTGGTGGCGTTGTTGAACAAAATTCGTCACAATGGCGGGCGTCTTGTATAAAATCTTATCAAGCGTAACTGTACTTCCTACAGTGTTGGCACAGTTGATAGGATCCTGAACAAGGGCATGCGTCACCCTTTAGCCATGGACATATGTGTGGAGGGCCCGTGTCATCTTCGGGTGTGTCCTCAAATAAGAAGCTACAAAGTATAAAACATGGTAAGTTCCATGATAATCAAACATAAGGGTATAATAAAGTCCCTTGGACAAGATTCGACCTTTGTCGGTTTCCAATAAAATAACGTGCTTCTTTGAATAAACAAAATGTCCACTATAGTACACCATACATTCCGTGGAACAAAAATTCAATCACATCCGCATAATACTGCGTTGCAAATATATTCAAATATACGCCACATAATAACCACCAATAAATAAACGTCTTCCAAAATCATGCCACTGAAGATCCTTCTCTAGAGATACGTTAGTTTTGATACGTTGTATTTACTTATAACAAAAACTGATGATAAATGAAATGAAGTAAGATGATAACGTAAATTAAATTAATTGAAACAAATCATTACGATACTGCAGCATTTACATAAAGTTACACAAATACGGTAGAACCATAATAAATTATTTATGAATAGATATATATATATGTATAAAATATTCATGGCTCCTATACAATTACAATATAATTAAACTTCAATTAACATACATCAATTAACATGTCTCGGTATAAATTTGCAAAAGCGAAACACTAGAATAAAAAGAGCTTTTAAAATTTAATCTGCAAAAATTTAGAAAATTTAGAAAACAATAAATTACTGCCAAATAACTAAACCTGAATCAAATAAACTATAATTCCTATAGAAAATAGTATTTTACGAAATAGCAAAAATTTATGAAACAAAATCACTAGAAAATTACATTTACCTTGTACAAGCTGTAATTTTATGACAAATATAATTTGTCTGTCACCGTCATAGTGACCTGTATAACGTCCAGTGCATTGCAATATATCATTTAAAATTTAGTCATTATATAGCAAACTACTGAATACTGAGCGGGAAAACGGATCGTGCAAAACATGAAAAATCGATTTGCCCGAAATAAAGCTGGGACGGCGGGAAAAATAGTTATGTAAAATAAAGGCCCGTCCTTCAAATACAGACATAATACATATATCTGGTTCATAAAACAAAAATGTAACTTTCTTATTACTGAAAGGATTTTTGTGAAATAAACGGCAAGATGTTTAAATTGAGACATGGAAATTTATGCAAACCATAAAAATACTCTAAATAATAATTTCACCCGAAAACTCTAAATTGAACAAAAGATGATGCAATCTCACATCAATGAATATAGAGTAAAAATGAGGTTTGGCGTGAAAATATAATGCAAGATTTTACAAACGTACTTTCACTTTGTGACAATGACTAACAAATCAAAATCCCTCTGAATCAAACACAATTGTTTTCCTCCGGTGAAATACACAACTTTTAAAAATGGCGACCGCTTACATTTCACAAAGCCAGGTCTAATATAAATTGGCAGAGAGTAACAGAAATATGGATGGATGGTTGGACTTTTTCTCCTTCTAGAATTGTTTGTTTTTTATTATTGAAACAATCGATAATTCATATATTTTTAATAAAATGAATAATATCACCGCCATTTAACGTTGATTGTTAAACCTATTTTTCAGCCCAAGAATTCTTGTATTTAATGAGAAATCGACTATATGAGGCTCACAATGGGGTCAACAGATTTTAATATTAACGTTAATATTAAGGAATTTTCGTATTAACTTGTTTTTAAGCATAAACTAAAAAGAAAATTTGTTTGTTTGTTGTGTAAGATGTAATTTTATATCATCACGTGAACTTTAAAAACAATATTCTCACTTTGGCTACGCCACTCGCTTAAATACTGTTTTTAAAGCCAACTTGATGAAATAGAATTTTATCTTACACACAAAAAACAAATATCCTCTATTTAATAAACGGTTTGATAATTTTAATGAAGTGAGCAAAAAAAATATATAGCTTATACCTAGTCGTAAAACAGATTTTTAAAATTACAATTTCATCCAACACATTAACTCCCTTAAGGACCCCACAGATTAGGAACGCAGCTACCAGCAGCCAATGTATTCATTACGAGGCTTCAGCAGCTAAGGTTAACACGTTACAATATTCTAAAACAAAACATTTACACTGTAATCTATCAAAGAAACTTTTATTGAGGATAGTGAAAAATTGGACAAAAATAAAAATGGATGAGAACGACAACGAGGTATGTTTTAACGTTATTATTTAGATTTCTTTTATTTGTTGTAATATTAGTTTTTACAAATTATGATAATTATAAAAAGCATCGTATATAAACTTTGCAGAAGCAAGTTTTATTGAAGAATCCTTGATACATATAAGTGATGGATACCACGTCTCAAAATTTAAAATTCTGCAAAATGGAAACAGTTTTTGAATGGATATCACGTTCAACTGTTCAAAACACACAACAGCGATGGATATACATCGCGTTGTTATTGACCGTTCATTATGGACGGGGCATGACGGATACCACGTCAAATATGCTACAATAACGAATCAGTATGTTATTAGATTCAAAGTCAATTAATTGCCAGGGAGTAAGTACAGGGAGGACGCATGCGCAACAGACAACCAACAATATCTTTGAACGGTTGGAACAAATGTTAATGAGACGGTGACGTCAGATACCTTCTTGCATAACTCCCTAAGCTCAATTAACGCTACATTGAAGACATAAACAAATGAGGTAAATGACCTTAAACGCAAACAAAATAGGGACCACTCACCAGCGGGAATAAAGAGACGAAAATTGACCTCAATTTCACAGATAATAAGTTCAGGCAATGATTCCAGTGATTCGGATAGTAATGATGAATTAGACAAATTTCTGGAGGAAAGTAGGGAGGCTCCCGAAAGGGAAGAATGGTCCGAGCTGCAAGATTTTTTCCAGAACGCAGACGAAACATTGGATGCTATCCACGAGGTTCTTGCCAATGTGGTAAATAAGGCGTTAAGATCAAAATCAAAGCCAGAGAAAACAAAACTATTACAGGACAAACATAAAAGACCAATAAATGTTGAGAATTTACAAATCCCAAGAGTTGACGAACAAGTATGGAAGCAATTAAAAAAGGACACAAAATCGTATGATTTTGCTGTGCAGAAATGTCAACAGGGAATGTGCATGGCACTGATACCGACATTGAAAGCCTTAGAATTATTGGAACAACCTCAACCACAGATAGCTACGGTGAAAGATTTACTTGGGGACATATTTAAATGTTTAGCCCGAACCATTGTGCGTTCCAATGAAAACCGCATGGAAAAAATTAAGAAAGATTTGCTTCCAATTTTCAAACCACTTTGCGACAATATACCTTCGGCCACAAATTTGTTTGGAGATAAGTCTGACATCAACAAATCGGGAGCCATTTTTAGAAAAAAGGGGAGGGGGTCATACAATCGGAACCAAACATTCAACAAGTATCAGTATTCAACAACGATGGCCTACCCTCCACGAACAAATCAAAATTAAACAGGAAATCGAAGGGGGAAAGGTATACAGAAAAACATGAAGAAGTAATTTCAGTAAGTGAATCTTTTAAAGTTTGTTTTGAAAACACACAAGATAATTTCAAAGCCGGGAAATCTAAAGAAAATATAAATATATGGGAAAGTA